AACAGGACTTGAACAATATACTCCATGGCCTTAGTACATGCCTCACCGATGAAACACATATTAGCTTGAAGTTTTCTTTCTTGCCTTTGGTACGCAGCAGCCTTGAACATATCTCTCATGTCGTTGCTTCGCACGTGAGTCTTCAAGTTAGAAGCTATGTGGCGAACACAAAACCTGTGATAGGCTCGTGGCTCGGTGAATCCAACGTTAGGATCATTCATTGCTGCAATGATCCCAGGATGACGATCAGATATAACACAGATAACATGCATATAATGTTTAAAACCGTCGATACAAGGACCGAAGGCCCAAAACACTCGTTCAAACACTTCCATGTTGTTGGAGTATATACCATCCACCAGAGCTTTGTGTTTCCATACAACAACGATTCCCGGGTTTGACTGTTGGAGTGCTTGCATGAAGTGCGGAAGTCTGCCGTAAGAACTCTCCCAATCCCCAAATATTTCAGCTATAGCTTTCTCCTTGGCATACCATGCTCTTCGATACGGAACTTCAAAATGAAATTGCTTGGAGATGAGTTCCTGTATGAATTTAATTTTCAAGGACGGATCTTTCTGCACAAAGGACTTCACATACTCTGATATTATGGACGAATCTAAGTGTGGGTGATCAGTAGATAGTACTTTAGTGACACAGTTCTCCCAGTGCGGGCCTTTGTACATGACTAGGGTAAAGCCAGGCGAGTGCTCACTTGATTTGGTACCCCGTAGCGACCAACCACATTTCTTCTTGCACCGCTAATGAAGGACAGTCTCATTCGAGGTCACTGTGGTGTAGAATTGATTCCTCTGTATAGAATACATCTTCACCATTTCCTGAAGCATTTTCTTACTTTCAAAATACATGCCCTTCTTAAATTCTCCCCCGGGAACAAACGATGTATGGCAACCCGATTCGGCCCAATACTGATCAACTTCATAGTTCTCGTTTATCTGACTAAACCAAGGTACGTGAGTTCTAACCATGGGCTCGCCAACTTCCATGTGTGCAGGTTCAACATCCATGTTCTAAAGTCCATCTTCCTCCTCTCTGCTCTCGGCCTCATCATTTGTTTCCGCATACACATCATACACAGACAATTCGTTATTCACAATAGTTTCAAGTTGATTTGGCATAGGTTGAGACGGTGATGTTTGAACATCATCTTGCATAGGCGAACAACTACGCAATTGCATCGGTGAAGATGTGACAGTGTTTGATGTCGAAGGACCAAGTTGGCCGAACATTGTCACATATGCCCTCCCATATACAGGTGAAGCTATATGAGAACTAAACGGCTTGTTAAATTGATCGTCGTGCAAGCATTCTACCGAAAGATCCCATCTCATATTCATTCGATGGAATGTCGTGTGAGGGCACTTGGAAGGACTCTGTGTTGTAACTGGAAATATATGTACATTGTTGTTCTGGCCGAGTACTTTGTTGTGTACATATATGCACCATTTCTACATATATCTCCGTGGGAACACCCTTCATTGCAACAACGCTCCTCAAAGCTTTCAAATGTTTATTCGTAGAAACAGATGACACTTGAACCCCATTGCCAGTCTCAAACCTCATTTTAATGTTTAGTTCAACATTCCTTGGGTTTAAACCAATACTACTATGAACCTCGTTCATCAAATCATTAAAAGTCATGTTCGGTTCAAGTATTAGTGGTTCCATATTTCCTCCACTATACTCGACACTGGGTCCATCGAACAGAATTTCACCTCCCCACCGGCATAACAACACAACATTTTGTGTAGCTATATTCTACATAACAACAAAAATACATTACTCTTAAAGGCACTAAATCATCCCTAAATCGCCATAATTAAACAACAATGTACATACTTTTCAAATTACAACAACTTAGAAGCACTAAATCCACATTAATAAACAACAATGTAAGTTATCACAATCACTCAAAAACTAACAATTATCAACCATTATCAACATTATCAACAATTATCTACTAACAATTCAACATTTTCAACAATTATCAACACTAACAATTCAACATTACTAACAATTATCAACACTAACAATTCAACATTATCAGCACTAACAATTCAACATTATCAAGATTTTAACCACAAATCCAAAAACAAAAAAACCAATAAAAAAACCTAGATTTTAAAAACCAAAGAGAAAGAGGGCAAGTACCAAAATCGGGGTGATGTGAGGCTAAGTCGTCAGGGCTGTTGGCGGCCGGTCGTCGGCAGGCGGTGGTCGGAGGGAGACGACGGTGGGGGTGGCAGCCTGAAGGACAAGTTCTTGCTTTGAGTTAGAGAGAGATTGAGTGAGGGAATAAAGATTGAATTAGAGTAGAACCTCGCATGGTATATTGGTATACCGCATGAAACGCTGACTGAGGGAGCGTTTCATTTAAAAAAAACACTATAAACATTGTCTCAGTCAGCGTCTTATGTGTATTCGATTTTTTATTTTTTTATTTTTGAAAATCAGAAATTAAGAAAATCACAAAAACAGTCAACAAGTAAAAACGCTGTCCGAGACAGCGTTTTATACTTAAATTTTTTTTAAAAAAAAAAAAAAAAACAGGATATAAAACGCTGTATGAGACAACGTTTTACCCCAAAATCAGAAATTAAGAAAATCACAAAAACAGTCAACAAGTAAAAACGCTGTCCGAGACAGCGTTTTATACTTAAATTTTTTTTAAAAAAAAAAAAAAACAGGATATAAAACGCTGTATGAGACAACGTTTTACCCCAAAAGCTTAATTTGGTAAATAGTTTAGCTACGAGTACACTTTGCAAAATATTTTGCCAACAAGGCTTTGTTTGGAAAAAAAATCCTTACAATTATTTACAACATCCAAAAATATATGTTGCCATTAAAAGAACAAGAAAGAAGTGGAGTATAAAAGATAATCTACATTGTGCCAAATAAACAATTTCTGTTTTCCTTATTTAAAAAGCTATCTATGCCGGGCTTTCTTATTGCGCCATTAAAAGATGCTTTTTTTTTTTTTTGAAACACATTAAAAGATGCTTATAATGCCGTTAATTTCATATTTTAAATCGACAAATCTTATCTTTTGTGCTGCAAAGACATAATTTACTAAACAATTACAAAATAAGATTAAATTAAATTAATGATCAAATGAAAAAGAAGTTAATTATATAATAAGTCAAATTAAAGAAAATCACAAAAAATAACTCCAAATTAATCTCTTCCAATCAATAGTCTGTTATATAATTCCTCAAAATCTAAATTTAACCTCTTGAATTAGAGATTGTTGAAGCCAATATTCAGAATCAGACATCAAATCAGGACTTAATCTAAACATTAATACACAAAATTCCATCTGATTAAGAGCACCATCACCATCTAAATCACCTTCTAACATCATACTAATCAACTCATCATCTGTCATATTGTCTAACCCCAACAAAGCAGAGTTATTCCTTAAGCTTTCAAATGTGATCAGCCCTTTTTCTTTATCCATCAATAACTCGAACCCGTTGCATAGCTCCGCAATCAGTCCTTCCCCGCCGAGCTTATCCGCCATCAGCGGTAAGTGGTCTTCGAACTGGTCCGATGATGCGGATGCTTTTACTGGAAAACCCGCCATCCTCGAGCAGTTTGATTGGTATTTATAAAGGTGTTTAATTGATATATAGAGGGGGAATTGGAGGAGAATATGGAATTGGAAAGTATTGTGGAAGGAAAGGAGATTATATACTGGTGAATATGAATGAAATGGGAATATAGAGAGAGGTTCGTGGAAAGGGAGGTAAAGAAGGCGTTAGGATGACAACCCATGGACAGAACAGCTAGGGCTGGTCGGCTTTCACAAGTTTCGCACCGTATTTCTCTCGTAACTTCGCAGAAACTTGTCGGGGTTATTTACGTCTTTTCGGTTTTTTTTTTTTGTTTTAATATACTCGGTACCGAGTATTTTTAATGTTCACTCTCTATTTTTCGTTAAAGTCTCGTTTGTCTTTTGCACTACTATAGCCGATAAAAAAAAAGTAGTCATATATCACGTTATGAGCGCTCACCGGTCATTAGTATTAATTTGGAAAAACATGTCAAAATCATGCTTCAATCAGATTAATTAATGTTAAATTCAAGTTAATGTATCTAATTAATAAGCCAAAAAAATTCTTGGTAATGAGCGCCATGGGGGTGTTAATAGCTTTTGCTTAAAAAGAATGGTTTAATTATAGATGAATACACGAGTAAAAAACAAAATAAAGTAATTTGGTTAGCTAACATTTAAAGTGAATAAGAAAATAAGATTGTGAAGTTCGATTGATTAAAAACGAATAAAAAATTAGTTAAAGTGAAACGTGTATTAGAGACAAGATTTTTTTGAATATATGAGACTTAATTATTTGAGGCGAAAGAAGTAAACTTTTTTAATAATGACTTTCTTTTCTAATGCAACACTTCTTGATTTGAAAATTTTCTTATTATAAGTAGTATATGTAAAGTGCTATATCTAATGGCTCAACCTCTTGTCAAGAGAACATTGTCATGTAAAATCTTGTTTGATTTATGTAGATGTGTTGTTTTTAGGCTCTTACAAAATTATAATTTTATTTTTTTTAAACCACAAAATTATAATTTCTTATAATACATAAAATCTTATTTGAAGATACTGGTATTGACAACTTCATAAAAAAGAAAAAAAGAGAGAATATGAAAATATATAAAATCAAGGGAATGCTCCCTCCGTCCCATAATATAGTTTCTATTTGTGTTTTTTCACTGTATTTAAGAAATAAAAGGAGAAATTGGATGAAGTAGATTAGTAAAAGTAAAAAGTACAATCATAGACAAAAGTTAGATAGAGAAAGTGGAAAAAAAATACAAGACATGTGCAAAATTCAAGAGTAAATTAGAAAGTACAATGAATAAAGTTGAAAAAGTGAGGATATAATGATCAGAAACAACATTTTGGAATTCCAAAATAAAAAAATAAGAACTATATTATGAGACGGAGGGAGTATCTATTTACGAAATCATGACAAAACTTCATTTGTCGAATATTGATGTTTATCTGGTCTAATATTTTGAACATTAGTGAACATACAATGAACATAAGGTGGTTCGACACAATTTTGTATCACTGATTTTGTTGTACTAATGAGGGGAACACTTAATATAATTGCTTATCACGACTTGTTAGTTTTGGAAAAAATAATAATTTCTTAAAATGCTCCAATATTATAATTACAATGTGACAGAAGAAGCATCATAGTACAATGGAAAATTAATCCATATACAATGAAATGGAAAAGTTTACACACAAAAAAAAAAAAAAAAAAAAAAAAAAAAAAAAAAAAAATGATCCTCCACTAATGCTCAATTTTGTGTTACCTTATGAGCACAGGAGATAAACTGATACATCCAGCCTTCTCTTACATATACAGATATACTTTCTACAACTCTACAAGTACATGAAGCGTACACGATCGAAAACGCCCTGAACTAATCTATTCAACTAAATTATTGTTGCTCGTTGTGGAGACACTGTTCTTGCTTATGGAAGATGATGTAGCTGTGGGAGTATTTCGTGTTTGTGAACTCTGGCCTGAAGATGAAGTATTTTGTGTTTGTAAACTCTGGGCTGAAGATGACTCAGTGTAGAACATTATATTGTCCTGTTCTTCAACAAAAAATTGAAGGGACTTAGGCATTGGAGGCATATTTACATCCAAAACACCCTCGATTATTTGAACCACCTGCCCCATTGACGGCCTTTGAATTTCGTTGTCTTGAATGCACCAGCATGCAAGTTTACATGTTTTCTTAACTTCTTCTTCATCGGCATTACCTTCCAATCTGGGGTCTAATATGCTCATGATTTCTGCTCCTTCAGCTACTTTGCTAGCAGCCCAAGTAGGGAAGAACTTCACTGTGCCATATACTGATTGTTCGGTGTTTCTATGGCCTGATATGAGTTCAAACAGCATCATACCGTAGCTAAAGACATCTGCTTTTGCAGTTATTGCGACTCCTGAAATCCACTCAGGCGCAAGGTAGCCTCTAGTTCCTCTCATGGTAGTCAGAACCCGGCTAAAATCCCTGCCAACAAGTTTTGCCAATCCAAAATCTGCAACTTTTGGGCAAAACTCAGCATCCAGAAGTATGTTTTCTGGCTTAATATCACAGTGAATGATGCAATCCCTACATTTCTCATGTAGATACGCCAACCCCCTTGCTGTCCCAAGTGCAATTTGGTATCTTGTTTTCCAGTCCAAGAGATTTGAACTTTTCTCAGGGAAGAGATGTGCTTCCAAAGAGCCATTTGGCATGTAATCATAAACCAATAGCTTTTTCGTCCCTTCAGAGCAAAACCCACGAAGGCGAACAAGATTCACGTGCTGAATCGTCCCAATGGTGCTTACTTCTGTTCTGAATTGCTTCTCACCTTGACTGAAACTTTCTAGCTTCTTCACAGCAATTACTGATGAATCTGGCAATGTCCCCTTGAAAACAGACCCAAACCCACCTCCACCTAGCTTGTCAGAAAAATTCTTTGTCGCGTGTTGCAGTTCTCTATATCCAAAAGAAATCAACGATCCTTCAACACCCTTATTTGAAGAACCAACAGATTGATTTTTCCGCCTCCACAATAGCCCAAAAACCAGACCTAATAGGGCTAAGGTGACAATAATTGAGCCCACAACAACGCCTATAACCAATTTCTTGTTGCTCTTTTTTGGAAACTCTGAGGCTGCAAGCCTAAGATAAAGAGTTTTACCACTAGTATCACCATCAGAAAGTTGCTGAATGTTCAACAGATCTTCATGCCAAGCAGAACAGCCACTACTATCATACGCATAAGCATAACACGAGCAGTTCTTCAAGCAAGCTGCTTCGCATTCCTCAATAGTTCCTGCATTCAAGTTTTTGCCATTTTGGGGTAAAACCAAATTGTTATACGGAAAAAAGCGGTCCCTCTTTTTCTGAGAATTCGGTCTTTCACACTGCAAGTCGGTCTTCCTTTCACATCCTCTTGAGTAATCACTCAGCCCCCAATCACCTTCCGACTTAGGTTTAAATCCCTTCAAGCAGGTGCAAAATGGCAAAGAATTTTGGTTACAACTCCCAAAAGCACCACAATATGCATATACTTGGCACTGTTGCTTTGGATTCGACCAAAACAAGTTCCACTGTTGGGTCTCCTCTAGCCATGTCAGTTGCTTAACCTGACCGGAAATATCCATCACAAACCTTGATATAATCGATGGATGATAAATACTATAAGTGAAATAACTCTCATCCTTATTATCAATATAGCTAAAATTGTATATATAATTCAACCTCATCTCAGGAACTAGACTAAAAATCCTATCTTGATCATCCCATGCCCCACTTGTCCAGTACTGATGTGTTAAATTCCACTTGATAACATACTCTTTAGTTGTAGGCACAAGTTCAAGAGAGAATAAACCACGAGCAGGATCATCTTGATTCTTCCACGAAATTAGTCGTTGAGGTTTCCTACCCCGTTTATCATAAATCAACTTACCACCAGGAAGCCAAGTATTAGTAGGCTCATCAAAACTCTGCCAGAGTAGCTCTTGGTTGCTCTTAGATCCGTCCCTGATAACAAGATTTCCTGAATCAAGCAAGACTGCGTAGATCGAGTCCAGCTTGGTGGATGTCAAGTTTGAGGACCAAACAGGTGACTTTGATCCATTTGTAAGAACTAAGTTACCATTCATAATTTTAAGCTCACATGAATGCTTATCTATGACAGGATTTTCGCTGTTTGCTACCCAAACTACAGTTTGCAAAGAAATTTTCTTGTACCAAATACCTAAGTAGTATTTAGAAGAGTTACCTGATGGATTAAAAAACCCCAGCTCAAAAATTCCTTCAGGTTGTGACACTATGGTTTGTTCACCTGAGATTGAATAATTCGCGGTAATTCGGTCTGCTCCATGAGAAATACGACATAAATACGCGAAACAAAGAAAAAGATAACCAACCTTCAACCATGGATTATAGTTCAACTCCATGGCAAAGAAAAGGAAGAAAAAAAACAAAAACAAAATAAAATTTGAAAATGATAATGAAGATGGAGTAGTGGTTACTTGGATAAGTGTGTAATGAATTTTGGTTGTATTCGCGTTAGAAATTAATTGATATATCAAACTTAGTACAACAATATTAATGTTAGTTGGTTGATGAAAAGTCAAGATGGAAATTTTTATGGAGCCCAATTCGAACGGCATAAAGGAAGACTAGTTGACTTCATGGTTCTACTGATGTCTGAATTTTCAATCTTCTAGATATCTATAATGCGTTGCACTGTCCCTTTGACGTATTCCACTTTTGATTTCGTTTTTTTTTTTTTTGGGTCTTCTTTTGGTTTTGTTGTTGAAGTCTAAATCTGTTCTAATTTTCCTAATATGAACACTCATGTTAGTGTTAAACTTTAACCATTAATTTTTCAACCTATATAAATTTTTACAAAGTATAAAAACTTGATCAATTGATTAAAAAAAGTTATGAATAGTCAAAATGTAAAAAAATTACGTTAAAAGAAATATAGGCCGTAATACTTTTTTATTTTTGGGTGTTTAAAGAGCCATAAGGGCAAGTGATGAGAATCGATCTCATGAACACCTAATATCGGAAGGAAGTTTTAACCACTTAAACTATCTCTCATTTTGGCAATAATACTTGTTGACAATATGTCAAGATTACTTGAAACTTTGAGCTTTACTCATTTTATTTCAAAATGTTCTTATACGTTTAGGAAAACTTCAAATCGACCCTAGATCAAAGTATTTGAAAGAATAAACTGCTTTCTCTATCATGGGCTTAGACTACTAAGTACTAAGAATAGTCATTAGGGATTAACCTACTTAGACTAATAGTTCGAATCTAACACCAAGTCAAATTAGTTGCTCTATTTCCATTTTTATGGTCTCTAAAATGCATATTTGACCATAATATTTTTAAAATGCAAATTAAACACAGATAACAATATCGCACATGATTATATACCAGTATATTTTCTACAATATATTACAATTGTGTATATCTTTATATCATAGAAACAGAAATTACAGTCAAGATCGATGAACTTCGATTATAAAAAGTCAAATGGAGCAATGTGAGAGTGAGACTAAAGGACTATTAAGAGAGCTGAAAAATGAAAAAAAAATACAAGCAATTCCTTGAGCCAGCAATTCTTAATCTTCCTTTTTTTTAGCCATTGTCCCACAAAAAAAAAAAAAAAAAAAAAAAAAAATCCACATTTCTTCATTAGCATAAACATCACTCTCTTATTCATCTGTAGACTTACAGTTGATAGTCTTCAGAGTAACCTAAACATTCAAGTATTGAGCTCTCACGTAAGTCGTATATGAATTATCTAAAAATGTCATGGTCACAAATGGAAAACTCTCCCAAAGAACAAAGGGGGGATTAGGTGCTAACTTCATGGATGATTGATAAGCACAGTCAAGGATATATGTATAAGTTATTCCATCAGAGATTAAAGATTCGTACAACTTTAAAAAAAAGAAAAAAAAAATAAAAAGGAACAACGATGAAGTTTGTTAGGGACATATGACGTATGCTATACTAATACTACGTTACTACCAGCTCAATCAGGAACCATAAAATAGAAAGAAAGTGGAATAAGTTTCACTTTTGTTTTTGGAGGGGTGAGCACTGACCAGGCAATTGAAGTGTGAAAAAAAACATGGGAAGCTAAAATAGCATACCAGGGATACTATCTGATTCACATAATTGATGTTCAACTTGCTTATACCTCTCAAACTCTGATTCCAGGACAGTGAAACCACCCAACTCAGATATATTCAGCAAAGCGTCAAGTATAACCTCTAAACAAGCTGCTTTCTCCCAAATTAGAACTTCTGTACAAAGTTTTAAAACCATGAAATCCTAGGGCCTTTAATATCATCTTCTATTTAATTGATGCAATGCTAAACTTCCTTTTTGTCCTGTATCATCAGTAAACACAAAGGCCAACGCTGAACTTTAATCAGTCAGGACTATCACATTCCACAATTTTTACACCACGGCTTATCTGTCTCAGTATGGCCACCCTACGAATTCGAACCCCCATAAAGTTAGCCTTATTGGTCCTCTTTTTCAGCCCTGTACCTCTGATATCTCTGATTTTCATCTTTCCTTTCCTTTCAACTTTTTCAACTTCCATAAGAATTTCTGGATCCAGACGAGTTTTCTGAGATGAATGGTTTGAGCTAAACAGGTGACTGAGATAGTAAGCAGGGTTAACATAGCAGAAAGACATGGACACAATGCCTTTCACATTATATGGTTTGGTTAGCTGAACAAAATCTTTTATTTCATGAAAGCAGCAGTGGTCAGAATAAGGAACTGTAAAGATGTGATCATGGACCTTCTCAGCAGATTTCATGTTCCTGTCAACTCGAGTCCCATTGCCTGCAAGTGTCCTGTTTGTTGAAGCAACTGAAAGAGTAAGGGAGTCTTTCATTTTTCCCTCAAAGGGCTTCACTACCCATGGAAGACCAGATGGCATAATTCCTATAGTCGGCCTTTTGGCGTTTAAGGCCTCTAAGGTGTTCATGCTGAAACTGTAACGAGGAACAGCTCGAACTCTTGTCAGGGAAGTCCTGGTTGTGAAGATATCAGGGTAACCAAGAAGATGCATGGTCTGTAACCGCTCTGGCCACACCCAGATCTTTGGAGCCAGAAAAGAAAAGGAAACAGATACAATTAGATAACATAGTAGTGCGCAATATGACAAGCTTTAATATGTTTTAATTTGTTACTTCTAGCAGGCAAATGAGGGAAAAGGAGCAGAGTCCAAAATATATGATGGTTAACCATATAGTCCATAATATTGAACATGTATAATGCAATAGTGTTTTGATGTTAGACTCGCATTACAGTAATTAATAGTCCACCAAAAAAAAGGCAGCACATTGAAATATAGGATGCCATTCATAGTTATAGCTTTTTAACTTCATTTCACAGTACAACTCTAAATATATCGTTCCTTGGTCTGTGTGTAAATTATAATTTTGATAGAGATACCTAATAATTGTGACTAAAATCCAATCAGCTCCTCAATTTGGCCTTTAACATCAAATAAACTACAGTGATGGGAATGATATAACAATTTGGGATAACATCAGTAAAGACATAGGAAATAAACTTGGAACAGATGAACCTCTTGATACTTGGTTTCTCTTGGTGTCCTCCAATTAAGGCTAATTCGAGAAAATGACCCATGTAGATATTCATTCTGAGACTGAAATTGTATCAAAGATTGCGAAGAAGAATAAATGAGTAAATCAAGTACCCTAGTCAGATTCAGATATACACAGTAAAGCATCCGTCTAGCATTTAAAACCTTGAAAAAATCAGATGCATTTTTTGGTTCTTAGTTACCTAGTTCTGATGAGTTGGGATCAGCAAACTCTAAAATCAAGTTTTACAAAAGGTTCAAACCTTAATCTTCAGACTACGTGAAATTTGAAGCAACAGATCTTCTTTACCCAGGGAGTCAATCCCAATTATGATGTCATGGTCTGGGTGTGAAGCAATGATCTCTATAACCTGCAAATCAGCCATTGATGCAATTGCTTCAATTAGTGAAGCTATCAATAAAAGCAATTCCATGAACAGTTATGGTCTAATTATTCAGTAGCTGTCACAGCAATTGTCACCAGCACTTATAATGAGAATTTGAGAATTCAAGTTTACTTAAGATGCATTAAAAACTCAAATTTACATAAGATGGATTAAAAACTCAAGTTTACTTAAGATGGACTAAATTATCAAGTTTACACAAGATGGATTATTAATAATGTAACTCGTTTGCCAATTACAAAGTATCCATTAACAATTCTCTGCCATTTGTCAGAATATACTTTCAGAGAAAAGAGCTAGTTGATTAAATATACTTGCAAAAACGTTACCATATATCTCCTTCTGTTATTAACATCCTCACCAGCCAAAATTGAATGAAAATTCAAAAAGGCAGCCTAGTTAAAAAGCATGTACAAGTCTTGAGGACTTTTCTAAAAGTTCTATAACAGTATAACTTCACAGATTCTCTCTTGAAGTAGCAGAAAATTAAAGTTCAGAAATCCTTTCAGCCAGTGTTGCACAGAAATGGATACGGGTACAAAAACGGGTACGGGGGCAGGATACGGAAAAAATCATAATTTCAAAAAACGAGTACGGCTTGAACATGGCAAAAAAAAAAAAAAAATAGCAAAATATAAATCCAAACGTGTTAAAAAAAATCCATACAACACAAATTAAAAGAAAGACCAGTTAATGTAATGTCTCAAACAACACAAATAAAAGAGGTTGATTCAATCTTCACTTATCAAATTTCACAATATAACAACTAACAAAACATAACAAGTTGGAGTTAAAATAAGAAATAGGGAATCAAAAGAAAAAAGAAGGAGATGCACGGGTACTTTTGGGTTATAACTTTAAAGGTAAGAAAGTAATTTGGGTTATAACTTTAAAGGTAAGAAAGTAAGATGTAGGCAATAGACCATTACTCAGGGAGTCAAAAGCTAAGTCATCATACAAGTTTTTTCAGTCATTAATTTTTGTATAATAAAGCTTTTGTACAGAAAATTTTCACAACAGAAATTATAATTCTATATTATGTTCACAAGAAATTTGCATATAGGATATTCATTAAAAATTATGCTTTGCACCGGCTTAGATATAGTTTGTATAATTTAACATAGTTTTCTTAATTGTGCTATTTCTTTAATATATACATGGCAAATGATAAATCATCTCCCAACTATTCCAATAGAGAAAAAAACAACCAAGTGATCATCACAAATATTCCTAATTGCTAATAAAAATATTAGTTCCAAGTAGGCATGCAGACTAAATCAATTTAAGTAGGCAACTAGATAGTCAAGAAATAGCACATCACACGCTAATTTGAGTAGGTAATCATGATCAGATAATCTGCATTAAATAAATAAATAAATATAAAACAATCATTTTCCAATGCACACATTATTCCACTTTTCCTTTTCATTTCTCATAAAAGAAAAGCCAATCATTTGCAACTTAGCCCTAGCAGCAAAATACTTCTATGTATATAGTAAACAGCAAGTTGCTACACAATAGAGGACCTGAAAAGTACCTGTTGAGCAGCAACTTCTCGTGTAGGGAAACAGTATAAAGGGTTACAGTAGGTATTGTCTAAGTAAAGGTGGTCAACTTTAGCACCATGGAGAGCATCAAGAAGCATGTTCCTCGCTTTCATTGACCTCTCACCAGTTGCTTCCCAACGGAAATCCCCCGTGTATAGAACGTGACCGAAGATCCCCTTAAATAAAAACATTACAGCCCCTGTTCATAACAATTAATAGCACATGTAAACCAGGGTAAAAATCTCAAGCATAGTTCTACACAATTAGAATGAAAGACAAGGAGTTAGCCTAAAGAAATTTGCAGCATGGAAAGCTTGAAAAACATATCATAGCCCTCAGGTTAACCCCACACTCAAAATTTTGAAGCAGATTGAAACTGTCTAATTTTTCTCCAAATCTCTGTTTGCAAAGGAATGGTGACATCAATAAAGATGTAACTCATAGAATTAAGTCTGGGTGGCTGAAGTAGAGAGCAGAGTATGCCTTTAAGGTTGAAAGGAGACTTCTATTGAATGGCAGTTAGAGGCCTTAGAGCGGCACTATTGTATGGGTTATAATGTTGGACAGTTAAGGAGCATGTTAAGAAGATGAGTGTAGTATAGTAAAGATGTGTATTGTGAAATGGGTGTGGAAACACCTCTAGGGATAATATTAGCAATGTAGAAATTCGATATAAAGTTAGACTCCCGGATATTGAGAATAAAATAAGGAAGAATCAGCTACATTGGTTAGAACATTTGAAACCAACTAGAGGATGTACCAATGTACCAGTAGGAAAGACAGATATTTCAATAGTAGCCAAGGAAAGCTAAAGATGATTGTCATAGAGGGAGATAAAAATAACATGAAGAAAGTGGGAATGCAGTATATGCAGCACTATATAGAAACAAATGGAGAAAGAATTTATCTGTAGATGACCATGAGTAATAAATTATTTATTCGTGCAACAGACTGGCAGACTCCATCCTTTTGGAGGTATGTCTCGGTCACTTTGGGTTGACCTAGGCAAGAGTGTCGACCACCCCGCATAGGCGCGCAAGGCCTTCGGGATCTCACTTGCCTACACGAGCAAGTGCGTGCTCCATTCAAGGGGAACGAGCCAAGTGAGGCTAAGATAGCTCACAACCATGTCTAAGGCGTGTGAAGTTATCAGGGAAAGCCCCCAAGTGCTTAGGCCATGGTGCTAGCTAGGGCATGATCAGCCAGGCCTTGGGCCTGTGGCTAGCACGTGCACACCAAAAGAACCTCGGAGTGTTTCGATGGGCAAAATTCCATAACAACCTTTGGTATTTATTAAGGGGACTTATTAGGACCCTAATAGACCATACATGGCCATAGGACCAAGGTTGGGTTCAAAGGTTGGCCCGGGAGCACATTATTGTGGAACTGTCAGTTGGGTGTTTACTAGTATTTTTACGCCATAACAAAATAAAGCTCTATAGGGGGGCGAGTGCTCACTCAAGGATCCATGGCTGACCTAAGGGTGGCCCTATGCCTAGGAGCCTTGGGCATAGTCTTGGACATAGGATGGACTATGGGGACTATGGCACACATGGATGGCTATGGTGAACACTCGATAGGACAAACCGACTCGGTTGTCCCGACTAGGGCGGACACGGGGTGACCAGTAGGGGCCTATGGCTTAGTACGTTGCATGCTAGCCCGACGGTGTGTGGTTTGACAAAGGGATGCTCTTGGGATCATGTGTGGATGTCCTTATGGTCCACTACTATGGTGGAGACTATGGGAGCTCCCGCATGGAGGATCAAGTGCCAACTAGTCAGCGATGACTATGGTTTCTACGATGGAACCATGGACTAGCGTGGCCATGGGCTGGATGCTAAGGAAAAGCCTTGGCTTGTAGAATGGTCTAACCAAAGGTTCCCTTAGTGAACTACTTATAATAGGGACTCCTTTGACGGTTAAGCTTAGTCATCGTGGCTAGCATGCAGTTGCCTTGATTCTAGAGATTGGCTAAGTAGTGGGGCTAGTGGGCGGTTGAGATAACCATCCACGTTGCACCACTCTCCCTAACATGTCGGGACGGTTATGCTGAGGTGCCACGTGGTTAAGTATGGTTCCTAAAATATAGGACCATGATGTTAGTGGGATGACTAATGGTTATCTTAACCGGAACTTTGATCGAAGTCAAACGGGAACGCGGTTAAGCCATTACTAAGGCGGTTCCTATAAAATAGGAGCACCAAAGTAGTGGGGTGTTGCCTAGAATGTAGGTAGTTATTCTGTGAAAATGATGCCACGTCATATGGCAGTTACACCACTAACTTAGTGTTCCTATTAAGGGAAAGTGGGCAGTTACACCGATTAGGTGGTTGAGCGCCACATAAGCATACTGATGCATGCCTCCTAAAATATAGGAGCATGGCATAGTGGGGCTTGACGGTTACCAAGCAGTTACGGGATCATGCTGAACGTGAATAACTCCCCTTGGTACGTAGACAAGTCTAGATACATCCAAGTAACCATGCAACTAGTGGGCAGTTACTAGATCATGGGTGTAGTGGGCATAGTGGGTAGTTTTCCTAGCTAATTGGGATGTAGTCAGTGCCTATAAATAGGCCAAGGCATTCATTTATTGGGCCGTGAATTTTGGGAGCTCTAGAGAGGTATTCTAAAGAGAAAAGCTCCTTGTATTTGTAAGCCACGAAAATAATAAAGTGTTCTTACCTTGTGTTGGTGTTTGTCTCATACTTGTGTGTGTGCGTTCTCATTCTTTGAGTGTTAGGCTGGTCTAGACTTGGTCTAGGCGCCATCACGGGAACCTCGTGGGTCCCTAACTTAGGAAAAAAAAGTTAGTCCATAAAATATCCCGTGACACGATACAGGGTAACTACGATAGTGTCATTTTTTTTTTTTTAATCATAATCATAGAACATTTTTTCTTGGTTCTCTTATAAAACCCCCTTAATTTTTCTTGGATGCTCTTTCTTTTGCTCACTTTACTCACCTTTTTTTCAAACTCTTTCAAATGATTATCTTGTTGTGTCCCTTTCTTTATATCGTACGGTTCTTTATGACGATTCATGTAATCATGTTAGCCGACCCCAAATCATTTTGGGACTAATATTTTATTGTTGTTGTTGTAATCATAGAACAATTTTTAATTATATTGTACTGCGCATAACTTTATTAACTCTAACCTTTCAATTGCCAACGCCTAATTTTCACTATTAATGTCTCTAACACTAGTAATTTTTTATTTTTATTTTTTTTTTGTAAAAAGTAAAATAATATTAAAAGTTCATCATCGAAAAATATTGAGACTAAACCAACAATATTTTAGATAATACGGAGTAATGTTTTTTCAATATTAGTTAAAATTTGAATTCGAAGGAAATACTTAAATTTGAAGTATGAATACTGCAAAAGTCAAACAAATACATAAATTTAGAAAAAGGAAGTAAGTTCAACAAGTAATACAACAAAGTAATGTTGATGAATCATGAAGGTAGAATTATAAACCAGAAATTTGTGGTAATTTATGTTGCATTTTGAAAATAAAACTGAAAAATACATGCACTCAAAATGAGTGAATGTTTTCATATACAACTGACAATAACTTCTTTTTTTCAGAATAAGGATCTAGTAATGACATTATTGCATATCATTATCCAAATAATTTTACAATTTTCTATCAATAATTTGTTTGTTGATCAGAACTTCACTGATTCCAAAATCACTCAATCATATAATCAATTCAAAACATATACAGTGTTAAAAACGAACAATAAAAATCAAATCAACCCTAGAATGGATTAAATTCTCCATAATTTCAGCCTAATCATATGAAACACAAGCATAATCAACTCAATTACATGAAAAACTCACCAATTCCAAAATTAGGGTTAACCAAAATCAAAATTAAGAATTACCAGGACAGTGAAAAGCATCAATTGGCATAAAATGAATAGGAGCAGGAGATCCAGAGGAAGGAGAGGAGAGAGAAAGATGATGCCAAGAACCGATTTCGACGACACGGAGTAAAGCGAATTTGAAATCGGGGAATTTGAGAGGGAAGAGTTTGGCGGTGGTACGAGAGCAGAAGAGCGGACCGTGCGACCATGTCGACGAGAGGCCGCGCGTATGATCGGAGTGAAGATGCGTAAGAAAGTAAGCCTGGCTTCCTCTTGCCCAACGATCTACTGAGATCATCCCGCCTTCCATTGTTGCTGCTCAAGGTTTTGAATTTTGGTGGTTTTGTTTTGTTTCGTTTCAGGCTTTTTCAGCTAAGATTGTTGTTTGATTTCAAAACTTTTGTAATGAAATGTTGATTGTTGGTTTTTGGCGCCTTTTGTATATTGTACTATAGAGTTTGGTTCGGTGAAGTCGTGAAGAGCATCGTTGTAGAGCTTTGAGCTTCTTTGCTTTGTATTTGGCCAATTGACCAAATCATCAATAACATAATATTGAAATGGACACCAGAAATGACATAATATTGCTATGTCATTTCTTGGTGCTGTTTTTCCCTCCAAAACTCTCATCTCCCTTTTTAGCGAAAATCTTTTATTTTTGGAATGTTTGGATAATACAATTATAATAATACATTATTTCTAATCTTATATATTATATTTATAATAATTGTATCCTTTTTATTTTGTATTCTATTTACTTAAAATAGTTACACAAAATTTTGAGACCTTTTAATTAAGGGAGAATAAGCTATATATAATTTAGAAGGTTGAAATATGATGGAGAGTATAAAATAATAGGGCCAACAGTACAATATTAACATTTAAATTACCATTATATAGTTGTACAATAGTGGGGTTCAATGAAAAAAAAAAAAAAAAAAAACATTTTTATCCATGGTGTTGCTTTGAAATCTTATGAAATAATAATAATTGAATGATTTTTCTAGTTAAATATTTCTGTAATAATTTTACCAACTTATAACATTTTTTCCCTTCAAAAAATTTGTTAACTATTACTAAAACAGGTCATGCTTACATCGATCATTAAAAAAATTCTCACTAATAAATTATATGATGTCAGCTTTAAGTTTTTTGTTTAAAAAAAAATTATTTACTTAGCTTATTTTTTGAAAGTACATTGTATAGTTTTTTTTTTTTTAAATTTTTATTTTGGAAATTAATTCATTTATAAAAAGTCATACGACATCTACATTGTATATTTTTATTGGGAATAACATGCATCATTAATATAATATAATGTACATTATTTTAAAATATTTTCAGCACAACTAATTAAATTTTTTTTTTTTTCTCAATTGTAGTTTTAATAATTTTTTCCATATTATTCATCTTTCTTATATGCATTGCATTTGTTTATTCCACATGAGTTGCCTCATGCTTATATTATATCACAAATTAATTATAGGAAAAAGGATTATTACTACCGTGCATCGCATGGGCACTAATCTAGTTGGTAAATAAAAAAGACCCATAGCGAAAATTTGGTAAAAAAAAATAACTCCGGCGACGATTTGGTAAAAAAGCTAACCTCAAGCGACAATTTGGTAAAAAAAAAATTAATCTTAGGCGACATTTAGACCAAAAAATATAATTTTTCCCGACAAACTCTTCAAAATCCTAATTTAATTCATTATAGTTTTTTAAAATTTATTTTTCCCATTTAAAATGATGAAATAATATGTCATCCTCTTTTTGTTTTGCTAAATCTCGATACCAAATTTATTTCCAACCCCCTTTTTTTTTAATTTTCGTTAATATATAAGGGGTAGCAAAATTAAGTGAAAATTAAAAATATTTTTTTTTTAAATATACTTTAAATTGTAATTTCCTTAAAAAAGGGTTGGAAAATTAGCTGGCAATTTTTTTTTTTACAAAAACCAACAAAAAAAAATAAATAAAAAAAAAACTACGAAATGTCGAAAACAAAGTAAATTAAATATTTGCGAGTAGTTTGTCTGAACTTTTTGTATTTTTTTGTCTAAATGTCGGCTGAGATTATTTTTTTTACCAAATTATCGCCGAAGTTATTTTTTTATCAAATTGTTGCTAAGGGTCCTTTTTATTTACCAATGTGGTCAATTGGCCCTTTGTACTTTGTAGTTTGTACTTCGGCTTTGAGGCTCTTGGATTTTCCTCTCTTAATTGATACTCTGTCCGTTTTGTAATAATGAAATACTTTTCTTATTTGATAACGATGCACTATTATTTTATTATTCCCTCTTACCAACCTCACATATACTACCTTTTAAAAAAAAATTCTTACTAACAATTAAATATTAGAAAAATGGAAATAAATAATCCCACCTTTATGTGGTCTGACAACAACAATCCCACATTTTGATTATTACGAGGCACTCCCACCTTGATATTACTTCTTCTTTTAATGGACCTTTATACCTACAACCTGTTAAACAAGTTAAAATGTTTTTTTTTTTTTTAAAAAAAAAAAACCATGTGTTGCTCAATAATTGGTCAAAATAAAAAAATAAAAGTTAAAAACAAAAACAGGGTAAAAAAAACCCACCACCCACCAACCACCGTGAAACCCTAACCCTAACCCTAGGCCCACCAACAACCGGTCGGCCGCCACCCTAAACCCCCCAAAATGGCCGGCTAGAACCCCCTAATACTAAAAACCACCCCGCCGACTAAAAGCCACCCCCAAAATCACCCAAATCCCACCCCCGAACCACCATAACCACCACAACCACCACCCTGAAAACCCCACCCGACCGCCGAAAACCCCCACTAACCGCCGAAACCTCCATCCCAGCCCCGAAAAACCTCACCCAACCTCCCTAACCACCCCGAAAATTCCCATCTCAGCCACAAAATCTCCATCTCATTATCTCAGCCTTGAAAACCCCCTTTAAACACCCTAAAAACACATCACCTAGTGGGTGGGTGCCAGTCGACCGTTTTCGGAGGTTAAGGAGGCCGGTGGGGCAGTTTATGGTGATGGCTGGGGTAAGGGTAAAGGTTTTACGATGGCTGGTGGGGGGTTGGTGGCTAAGATTTTTTTTCTCTTCTTTTTTTAATTTTGTTTTCTGTGTTTTTTTTTTTGCTTTTTTTAGTATTATAAAAAAAAATGAACCTATTAAAATTTGACACGTTATAATTAACCTACAAAAATCGGTCCACCAACAAGTCAAAATCCATTAAAAGAAGATGGCATACCAAGGTGGGATTGTCTCGTAATAATCAAAAGGTGGGATTGTTATTGTCAGATCGCGCAAAGGTGAGATTATTTATTTCTATTTTTCTTAAACATTTCCCTACCAACTATACTTTATATTATTAAACTCCACTTTAATCCCACCCTATATTTTTTAGGAAAATATGTGTCACGCCTACTATTGCGATTATTACGAAACATAGGGAGTAAACAACTTTTTCTATAGCTTTTAACTTTTGGATATAGTCAAACTGCCAAAATATATGTTTGGTTATTTGGTTTTTTATTGCCTAAATTAAAAGCCACATTTTCTGCGAAAAGCCAGTATAATGTGGATGTTGAATTGGTTTGTAATGTTTACTAATTACTATTACATTTGTGTCCTAACAATTAACTTTTCCAAACATATTTAAAGACCAACAATCAAACAACCAACATAAAAACCAAATACAAAGAGTTAGTCAGACCGGCCAACAATCAGCATATATGTTATGTATTCTTTCCGTTTCATAACAATGTATAAAGCACCTGTGTTTCTTTTCGACTATCATAAAATATTGTGTCAGTTTTCAATATTTTATCAATTCTATATAGTTCACACATTCTTCTTATAAAGTTGTCACTTTTTAGTTAACTTCGATTTCTTTCTTTTTATGAACGGCATTTCACCTTACTTTTCACCCACTATTCACACAAAACTCACATAAACTTTTAATGAAGAAAGAGGTTGTACTCACCTCCTCGGTCATATCTAACCCTTTATATTTTTTGATTTAGCTACTAATTTTCAATTTATTCTAAATACATAAGAAACTTGGAAATCAACGTCATCTTTTGTCTTCAAAAGATAAACTTTATTGAACCTTGAACAATGATCAATGAAAGTAATGAAAAGTGTTTTCCGCCTCTACTTTCCAAGTTCTTGAAATCTGCTCAATGTGTAAGTGCAAGTTAATTCAAGTAGTACAATACATCTCTCGCTTTGTGACATATTTATAGAGATTCTTCACAAATCAAGACTTTGCATATACATACTCTACAACGTAACTTTTCATTCAAGTAGTTCATCTAATGGCATGTTTGGAAGCAAAGTCAAACTTTCCATTCATTTTAATTTGGTTGCACCAATCGTGACTCGATTTACCATGTTATAATGTAAAGTACTCAACAATTAGATCTGATCAAAGTGAGCCCGACCCGATTTCGGGGAGGGGGTTCGGGCAGATTTTTTCGGCCCTATCCGATTTTTATTTTTGGGTGGGCTTACGAATGGGATTTTATGCATTTTTAGTTGATTTTTTTTTTTTGCGCGGCCCGAAAAGCCCGCATGGCCCGGTTAGTTTGGGCACACTATTTTCTCCCTAAAGCTTGGTCTGACCTGGCCTGGCCTGAGGAATGGGCTGATTTTTCGTCCTCGGCCTGGCCCGACTTGCCCAATGATCACCTCATCAACAATATAAGCAAAACAATGATTCTTATTTATTGAAGACTCAAACTCCACTCTCGGTTGATAAAAAACCGACGAGCACCTTATTCATAAAGTAAAATATAATTGGTCCATGACTATAAATTAATCATAAATAAAAAGGAATTTTTTTTTTTTGATATTTACGTATTGGTTTGATTTGGTGACGAATAGGAACGTAATCTAACGAAACAACAACACCATTGTTTGCGATCCATGTTAGCATTTCTGTCAAGTTTCTTCCCTCCTTGTTATAGGGCAATTTCTTCAGCTTGTGAATGATCTAATTGTGACTAACATCAGGAGCTTTCTCGTCAGTATCTTTAACAATAAAGTGAACTTTAGATTGAATCAAAACCTTACCACCGCAGCAATACAATCTTGCAGTTAAAAAATAATTTAAAGTTAATTAAAAATAATTCTATGTATGACATTACATTGTATGATATTACAACCCCAAAAAAAATTATAATTTTGAAATCAACAAATGCTAAAACAAAGGGTTTGACAAATTGTTTGCTTGTTGTTCGAGAGTAGTAAGAAGAGGTGAATCTCCATCATTCCAACCTTTAACCTGTAGACACCTAAAAATGTCTCCCTGACCAAAGCCCGATGACGAAACAACCTCTCATTGCCTAATTTGGTCCGGTTCGCGTAATGGATCTAAATTTTTAGATGCACCCTTGTGCATCTAAGATGGATGCACCACCCATTAAAACCCCATTTATACACAAAACGTAAATACTACAAACTACTCCTTCCTTCTTCAATCTTCTTCCCACCTTAAATCTTTTCTTATTTCTTACTTCTTACATACTTGTTTATCTCTTTTCCTGATTCTTTCCATAATTTTTAATTTTTTTTTGAAATTTTTTCTCTCCTCT